TCGAAATTCATAACTGTATAGTTAAAAAAACATTGGTCGATCAAGGCAGTTCGACAGACATTCTATACTGGAACACCTTCAAGCAATTGGGTATCTCGGAGAAGGAGCTCATACCTTATGATGATCCCCTGGTCAGTTTCTCTGGAGAAAGAGTAAGCACCAAGGGATACATTAAACTCTTTACCCATTTTTGCTTTGATGAACAGGAATACAGAGAAATCCAGGTGAAGTACATAGTGGTGAACGCTAGCACATCGTACAATATTTTGCTCGGTCGACCATCATTAAACATGTTGGGAGCAATCGTCTCTACGCCACATTTGGCAATGAAGTTTCCATCCGAAAAAGGAAACATCCTTACTATTCATGCCGATCAGAAAGCAGTGCGGGAATGCTACTATGCCAGCTTGCGAATAACTCCTATGGAAGAAGAGAAACAAACAAAATCTAAAAGGGTTCATGCAGTAAACCCTTCGGCATCCGCGAAAACCCAGGCCTGGGATCTTGATCCTAGGATTAATGAAGAGGACCATGTGGAACCAATTGAAGCCAAGATCTCTTTGCAAATAGGTTCGTCACCATCTCAGGTGACTTACATCGGTGCCAGCACTCCCGAAAGAGACCGCTCCGCTTTAAGCAAGATAATCATCCGGAACCAAGATCTCTTTGCATGGGTACCGTCAGATATGCCTGGCATCGACCCACATTTCATGTGCCACAAGCTCTCTGTTTGCGCCAACGCACGACCTATAGCTCAGCGCAAGCGAAAGATGGGGACCGACAGGAAACTAGCAGTCGAAGCCGAAGTAGCCAAGTTGATTGAGGCAAGATTCATTCGGGAAGTACAATATACGACATGGCTGGAAAATGTGGTCATGGTAAGGAAGCCGAACGGAAAATGGAGAATGTGTACCGACTACACTAATCTCAACAAAGCATGCCCTAAGGATGCTTATCCATTGCCAAACATTGACCGATTAGTTGATGGAGCATCAGGGCATAAATTCCTCATTTTTCTTGACGCGTATTCCGGATACAATCAAATACGCATGCACCCTAGCGATGAGGAAAAACAACTTTTATTACCGATTCGGCCAATTATTGCTATCAGGTGATGCCTTTCGGAATGAAGAACATTGGAGCCACATATCAAAGGTTGATGAATAAGGTGTTTCGGAATCAAATTGGAAAAAATATGGAAGTATACGTAGACGACATGGTCGTCAAATCCGAAGACCTTGATTGGCACCTATCTGACCTTGCAGAAGTATTTCAACACCTGCGCAGACATGACATGCGATTGAATCCAGAGAAGTGTGTATTCGGCGTTTACGGGGGCAAGTTTATCGGTTTCATGCTATCGGCCAGAGGCATCGAAGCCAATCCTGACAAATGCCAAGCAATCGTCGACATGAGAAACCCCCAGAACCTTAAAGAGGTGCAACGGTTAGCCGGACGGCTCACATCCTTGTCAAGGTTCCTGCCATGCCTAGCTGAAACGGCAAAACCTATCATTAGGCTGTTAAAAAAGGTAAAGTTTGAATGGTCGGCCGATTGTGAAGAAGCATTTCAGACGTTAAAGCAACGCCTCGGATCCCCTCCAATCCTCTCAAAACCCGATCCTCAGGCAAACATAATTGTATACTTGTGTGTGTCGGACGAAGCAATCAGTGCCGTGTTAGTGCAAGAAAAGGAAGTACAGCAGCCTGTGTACTTCATCAGTAGGATGCTCCAAGACTCTGAAACAAGATATCAACTTCTTGAAAAAGTAGCGCTCGGGCTAGTCCACACGGCCCGGCGCCTTCGACAATACTTTCAGAGCCACCGTATAATATTTCGCACAGATTGCCCCATCGCCAAGGTTTTGCGCAAACCTGAACTAGCCGGACGCATGATGGCATGGACAATCGAACTTTCAGAGTTTGATTTGTCATTTGAACCAAGGGGACCGATTAAAGCCCAATACCTAGCAGATTTTGTCAATGAGTTGCAGCTTCAAGGCCATTTTGTCAGTGACTTATGGACGATGCATGTTGATGGTTCTTTGAACAACCAGGGCACTGGAGCGGGAATAATCCTGCAAGCACCAACTGGGCTAATACTCGAGCAATCTTTACGGTTTGCGTTCAAAACCTCAAATAACCAGGCCGAGTACGAGGCATTGCTGGCCGGTTTGAGACTTGCGCAAGAAATCGGCGCTCGGCGAGTAGTATGCTGGACTGTCTCAAAAGTTGTATCGGAACAAGTCAATGAAAATTTTCAGGTGAAAGACCCTAACTTACTGAAATAATATCACTTGTTTCGGAGAATGCGTGACCATTTCGACGAAGTGCAAGTAAAACATACACCGAGGGAACACAACGAAAGAGCTGATCAACTAGCTCGGTTGGCTAGTAGTAGCCAAAAACCGGGACGGCTGAGAACTACACTCCACCTTGACCTTACCACCCCGAGCATCACACCGATTGAATGTTGATGGCCGAAGAGCCTCCCCAGACTTGGATCACCGAAATGATGGATTACCTTGAACTTGGAAAAGAACCATCCGACCCTTCGGCCGCCAAAAAACTCCGAACACAAGCTGCCAGGTATTCAGTCATTGGTAGACAGTTATATCGCATGGGTTTCTCGGTACCTCTTTTGAAATGCATCGATTCTGCACAAGCGGATTATGTTCTGAGAGAAGTTCATGAGGGTATATGCGGATCTCACTCGGGGGGAAGAACGTTAGCTATGAAGGTGCTTAGAGCAGGCTTTTTCTGGCCAACTCTCAAAAGCGATTGCATGCAGTTCGTCAAGCGTTGTCTTTCATGCCAAAGACACGGCTACCTTATCCACGCCTCGGCCGAAGAACTACATAACATTAGCTCGCCTTGGCCGTTCGCAATGTGGGGAATGGATATACTTGGACCGTTCCCGATAGCTAAAGGACAATGCAAGTTTTTATTGGTCGCAGTAGATTATTTCACAAAGTGGGTCGAGGCCAAACCACTGGCCAACATCACAGCAGCCAATGCTCAGAAGTTCTTGTGGAAAAACATTATAACTCGCTTGCGCATTCCTTACGCTCTTGTAACTGACAATGGTCTCCAATTCACTGATAAAAAACTCAACCGATTCATCCAAGACCTCGGCATCAAACATCGGTTCACATCGGTTGAACATCCACAATCAAATGGTCAAGCCGAAGCGGCCAATAAAGTGATCCTTCTAATGTTGTTAATCACTCGTGATATAAAATTAATTATTATTATATATTTTAATAATCTCATATATTGTGATACTATTAACTATGTATATTAATAAGGTGTGAATCAAGTTATTTCAAGAGTAATTATCAAGAGTTATTCAACTTGATACATTGAATTTAAGTTCGATCCTTTTTTTAAATTTTTTGTTGCTGAATAAATTAAGTTTACAAATTTTTATAATTTAAAAATTATTTGATACTTTATTATAAATTTTAAATTAATTCATATGCATATAAATATGTTATATGTTAATTTAAATTTTCTTATAAATATATTGGATTGCTAATGTACTTATAAGTTTTTGGTAGTGAAAGAACATTATAATAACATATATCGAAACTCTAGGAGAAAAAAAATGTATCACTTACATTTATCCTTTGTTTGGTAGCATTGGAATGGGCATGAACTATGAGAGATGTAACAACCTAATAAATCACTACATTTAGTATAGTAAAACTATAATGCAACGAAAAATATAAACTATTCAATTGCTCTAGGACCGTCATGCAATAATATTTGGACATTCATGTAATAGATATATGTATAGAGTGTAAAAAACTTTAAACAATCCCTACCAGTTTTAATTATAAATCATAAAGTCCCTTATGAAGTTACATATAATTTTATGCATATATACAATATATATCAAATATACAATACTTAATACAAAATAATCTTATTGTCAGTCAAACATTTTTATACAAATCATGTATCTGAACAATACAACCAAAAACCAGGTCACCTTCAACATGACCAAACTCCTAGTAAGCTTGTCACTTAATCTTGATCCGCTTTCATACCAAATATGATAATTGCAATCCAACAACATGAAAAAGGTAAGGATACACCAATAAAATAAATAACATAACAATCGAATAAGGAAGTAACAACTTTAGCAAATATATTCAACTTAAAAATAATAAGTTAGTTTTCAACTTAAAAACATAACTACAACTTCAATCAATCACAACTTACAATATACACAATATTCTCGACATAAACAACTTCAATTACAATTTAAACAACTTAAACTATTAATGCATTATCACATATATCAACTTATGAAAATTTTCTATAACCGAGATGAACATAAATGTAAGCTTTTAACATGATAAAAATAAGGAAGGGAAAAATTATAAACCTTAAATTCTTAATTGATCTAAGAAATTGAAAACTGATAAAAATTGAAAACAACCACAAAAACTAATATAAAAGAATGAAAACAAATGAAAAATAAAAAATTAACCATCTAATTTGATTTTTTATTTTATTTTTTTACACTACAATTCGATTTTATTTAAAAAAATGTTGAACTCTTATCACATAAAATAAAAGTTGGGACCATATTTTAAACCATTTAAATAAAATTATTAAGTATAAATCATTTATAATATTAAAAAATAGTCTTATTTTAATCAACAAACTATATATAAATGAGATTTTGTTTTAGTACAATAACTAAAATTTTATTAAAAAAAATAATTTACTAAAATAATAAAATAAAAATTAATAACAAATATATTAAGTGATAAATATTTTAATATTTAAACAAACAATATAATATTATATATTTTTATTTAATGTTTAAATAATAAATTTTTTAAAATTGTAAAAATTAATCCAACCTAAACAATCTTAATTTACTTGTGATCATGACTATTAAAACAAAAATGAACCAAAGAACGCCGTAAATATCCCGTTCGGTGTATGTGAGTATATAAATTTTGTATGTACATTACTCTCTTTCCTTTATTTTACATGATAATTTTTTTCCCTACTTACAATCTAGTGAAGCTACCTAAATTAAAATTATTATTTTCTAGTTATTACAAATAATTATTAATGACAGAAACCAGACGGATAGCCATGGTTCATCTCGCCGGTGCCGGAATTAGAACAGTCGTCGGAATCAATCGGAGGCCAACATTTTTTACACCAACTCTAACAAACAGTACCATTTCAACGCTTTACGTCGTCGCATCTCTGTGTCGGAGCTGCAGAGAACATGCTTTCAGTAGCGCTTGGACAGATTTTCCCGTAGAGAACGCCTACGAGCTTTTAGGAGTGTCCGAGAATAGCTCCTTTGCTGAGATTAAAGCGTCGTTTCGCAAATTGGCCAAAGAAACTCACCCGGACCTCGCCGAGTCAAGGAACGATTCCACTGCGTCTCGACGATTCGTACAAATCCTGGCCGCCTACGAGGTTTGTGGAAATGATTCTCAGGTTTATGATTATTGTCGCTGATGACTATAGTCTCAATCAGAAGTGTAGCGGTAGTTTTGTTCCTGGCCAAAATTTCGAGATAATGTAAACGAATCAACCGAGTTTGGCTTATAGAAGAATGCCCTAGAATTATGTTTTGGGGATATTTCCTATATGGTTTTGTTTACTGGACTAAATAATTGGTTTTGTTTGAATGTTCTGAGGACGACGAATGTATATAGTTGATGATTAAATGGCTGTGAAATTGAGAAATAACATGCTCATTATAACCTTTCGATAGTTTATTTTGTTTCTCCATTGCATGTTTAGTTAGTTCTCAGTCACAGAAAAATTGTCAAAATGATGCAATGAGTTCGAAGATGCCCGCGTGGATATTAATGTTAATTACGTGAACAGCTGTCTGCTGCCCTTGAAAGATGTTCTATAATAAATAGTTCAATCAAATTAAAAACCAGATGGGAAATTCTTAATGCTTGTCTGGTTGATCTTCTATAGTTTGTAACGCCCCAAGTTTGAATAAATCGCACCATTCTGATAAATTTGCCTCTGCCATTCTGGTGTTCATTTTACTACATTGATTTTCGGTACTGCTCGTATGCTCTGTAGGAACATGGGTCAAGTTAGTCGTGGGACAAACTGACTATATATATATATATATATATATATATATATATTTTTAAAATTTGGATATGTTGTAGATGGTTTAATTCATATTTGTTGATGCACTCTCTATATATATATATATATATATATATATATATATATTTTTAAAATTTGGATATGTTGTAGATGGTTTAATTCATATTTGTTGATGTTTATGCTGATTTATTGGCTATGTTATGTTCATCCTATTTACTAGATGACCAAATATTTCATGACTTCAACTGCTGGAAATCTTGCTGAGCATATATGGACTCTGGGTAACTAGAATGAGGTTTTTCCTTGGTTACAATATTGAATTAACAGAATAATCCATGATGCATTGCAGATTCTTTCAGATTCTCAAAAGAGAGCCCATTATGACATGTACTTGTTGTCTCAGAAAAAGCTTATGCAAAAGCATTCTGGAAAGGGTTCAAAATTGCATATTTACGAATCACAGTTTACTACATTCAAGGAGATGGAAGTTGTTGAATGGTTAAAATGGTACAGATTAACTATGCATAATATTTTGTCAGAGAAGAAGGTGGTGGTTGGAACAGGCTATTTTGATGTACTTGAGAGAGATTTTTATTCAGCTATTCATGCAGCATACTATGGTCCTGAAATTGATTTTATGGCCATGGAGCTTCTTCCTGACTGCTTTGAGGCTGAGGAGAGGTCCTCTTATGAAACTCCTGAGGTTTTGCACTTAGTTTCAGGACGTGATCTTTTCGGGATGGTTTGCCTAGTCAACAAAATTCCAGAGATATCAACTATTAACAATGAGAAGTTAACTTCTTCTGGATCCTTCCATTCAGACCCATGTCAATCTATAATAAATCTGAACATCGACAGGAATGCAGAAAGGCCAGATGATTTTGAAACTCATCAAGGTCACAGCTCTAAAACTTCAAGTATTGTATCAGATGCATATAGACATCTAGAATTGCATATCTCTGGAAGAGTGGTTGCTACAGCATCTAGGGCCCTACCTAGATGTTGTTCTGAAGCGATGCAGACAGAAGATGCTGAAGATCACATTCACGTGTTCCTGAACTTCTGTGGAGATCCCAATCATATTAGCAGTGATTTTTCGAAAGATAATCCTGCAAATGGTGCAGTTGGAAGAAGAATTCATTTGGGAACTATATCTGGACTTGGGAGCAGTCCAGACGAAGGTTGTTGTTATGCCTACGATGACAAGGGTACAAAGACCCATGTGATTATGAAGCATAGAACATTGATGGTATGTGAGGTTGCTATTCCATGGTCTTCATTCACGGTTTAACAATTACAGCTTAATTTGGAAAATATTTATTTTTATACTACTTTAGTCTAACAGTACAATTTCTCTTATTAAAAGTAAAATAATAACCTATAATGGTGGATTACAACAAGCAAGGAAATATGAGAGATTCCTATCACAATATAAGCACAATAAAGGTTAATTTCACGATTTATAAAATATTTACTGTCTAATCTAGTCAACCAAAATACTTACAACAATTAAAAGTAGAAATGGTTGTTTCCATTTTTAATATTTTTAAATATGAGAAGAAACATGGTCTGAGTTTTGGGATCTTGCTAGAAATTTAGTCTTATATATAACTTGGTATAGCTAGATGCTCATAATTATGTAATGTTATGATAAAATTTTCAGGTGAAGCATATGCACTGGTATCAAGTGAGTGAGAAAGTTTCAGTTTGTGAGTGTAGATGCACTAGAGCACGTTTACCCCCAAGCAAGTAAAGCTCTGGCATCTCTCTATGATTGTGTTGATTTTGATTTAGCACAACAATCTCTTTGGGGTTCATTAATGTGTATACCCTGATGCTGTCTGCTCTCTTATTTTTGTATAATTTGTAGGTTCTTTTTTTTTGGGAACATCGAATTGTTTCCGTGTAAATAAGGAAGTGAATTATGTGTTGATCTCTTTCTTTGTTAGAACATGTAGTCTTATTATGCATACCAATCTTCTCTTTCCTTGTTTGCGGTTTTTTTTTCCCATCCTTTTCCAAGTGTTGATGTTATTGGTTAATCAAGGGTTCTGTTAAAAGGTTAAAGCAATGTGTTCATTGGGTTAATTTGTTTATGTTGTTAACTTTCAATTATCTGGAAAGTGGTGTTGCTACACCTTCTTAGGTGAAGGAACCTGAATTGAAGGAGTAATTGTGGATTTATTGCTCATAACTTTTTCTTTATATCTGTACTTCTTATAACCGCAAAAATGAACTGATGTTTGTATTCTCAACTCATTTGAATTTTGACAAGTCTGCAACTTGTTATTTATGAAGATTATCTGATGTTCTCTCGTTTTTGTCCATAATACTTTTTTAATAATTTTAATTTAATCCTGTAATTATACAGATTTTGGCTATTTGAGCCTCGTTGTGGCTTCCATGACATAGGGGGTTGGTATGTTGAAACATATGGCAAAGATAAGAATGGTCGTACAATGCCATCACAAAGGTTCTGGGATGGCTTGGACTATAACAAGCAAGCTGACAGGTAAGTACAGTACATGGGTGACATTTCTTCTCTTCTTTTAACTTTGTGAAAAATTATTTAGTGTTATAAGTTTCTCTTTTCAAAATATATGGTATCAAATTATTATTTTTGAATGATGTATAAATAATACTTACTATGAATCTTGGGGAAAGTTTGACATGGTCACAGACATGAAAAGTTGACATCCGTATTTTGGAATTTGCACTTCATCTGTATTTTGTTTAATCTTTTTTTGAAATTATTGAAATTGTCTGACAAGCATTTTGGCTTGGTAAACTGCCCACAGGGCACAGGCCACAGCCACCTTTCATTTAAAAGATAAGTTGTTCAGAATTACAAACCTACTATATAACACTTCAGCTTAGTTCAGTATTGAATTTTAAAAATTTTTAGCTATTTTTTTCTTTCTCTCAGTAGGAATCAAATATCTCATTTTTGATATAGTTTGTTTCATTTCGGACATTTAGAAGCAGTAGAAGTTAATCAATATTTTAGAAATTATCTCCGGGAGACCCAACCCACGTGGTTGCCTGTGTAGTATACTGACTGTCTCAGTTTTGCAATCTGCAGAAGACTTCACCCAGCAATGTATCTGTTTGCTCTTGCATATCGAACACTTGACCTTGAGTATGCCAAGGCAAGCAGGAAATCATTTAGTAATGTTGTTGGAGCACAAATGTTTCGAATTCTTCATTGGTGCAAGAAACTTGTTCAATAGGTATCCATTGAGTTGATGACACTGTCAATGGATTTATTGTGTCCTTGCTACAACAATTTGGAAAGATCAACATATTCTTTATAGTAATACCAGAAGATTTCCCAGTGGGTTTACAGTTACAAAAAGACTCTTGAGATGCTCTGTAAGTAGTGAAAGGAAATTCATTAGAAGCCTCTTGTTTTATTTACTTGGTTAGAACAAGTTCAACTTTTCATCTGCATAGTGATGGATATGTTTACCAAATACTGGATTCACTTCATTTAATCAAGGATTGACTGCTGGTGCTGTTTTAATATTTGAGGAACCAATATCATGCCTGAGCCAATTTGCACCAACACTGAATTTGAGAAAAATATTCTCTGGGCGCTACTTGTTTCAGAATTGTTGTGCAACCCAAATCATCATGGATATACTTCTATGGATTTCTATGTGTAAGACATACCTCTACAGTTGCCTATCTATCATTAAACAAAGATTCTTTATTTTGGTCAGTATTGTGGAGGCTAGTTGTTTCACTGCAAAATGAGTTTCATCCCCTTATTGGAAAGGTCATGGAGCTGGACAGTTTCCTGGAATTTACTCGGTCATCATAACTCATGGTATATCAAATACAACTTCTGCTTGCATAGACTTGTCCCTATTGGCATGTGTCTACTTTTGTATATTATAATAATAATGATAATAATATATCTATATATAAGAGTGTTTTTCTAGTTTACATTTCCCCCCACTTAAATGTGTTGCTCTTCCCTCTGGGTTTATATGCTAATAGTACTATGACACGTGATTTGATATTGTCATGTTATTGTTAGATTTATTCTTATGTTTCTTCACCATCTATTTTGGGCTTTGACTCTGCTTTGAATGACTTGAACGATTATCTTAACTAATAGAATACGGCCTTGGGCCATAGAGTAAACACAAATTGCAAACTGCTTTAACTAAATGAAATTGACTACATATGCCTTTTTTTTATCCTTTATTTGAGAAGATCCTCCCATTTGCAGTACTGCCCTCCAGCTAATGCTCGATAAAACCTATCCCTACAATAGACAGGTCTTCCATCAGCAGCCTCAGCCGCAGCTGCTGCTAGATCATCATCAGTTATCACCTCCACAGGCAGTTTAAGCAACTCCTCCTTTCTACAATATGCATTAAAAAATTTCGATGACATGGTGCAAAGACTCAAGAAGATAGTCAAGGATATTTATGTCCTCTCTTACCTTAGGTTCTTTGTGTTAGCCTTGGGAGCTTGAAAGGTTGATTTAATTTCTTCTGTGGTAAAGGTAGTTCGAAGAAAATTCTCCACTGGTGTAGCAAAGATAAATAGCATAACTCCTGTAACAAGTAATGCTCCTGTTCCAACTAGCGTTTGCTTCAGCAGTTTAACTACTGGCTTAACCTGGGGACATGGAATATACGTGAATCATGCTGCAAGAAATCAAATTTAACATATTGCTCTTCTATTCTGTATCCAAAATCTTTCTTCACAATGAATTCAAGCAATGCAGCGCTACTTTGTGATGTCCAGTACCTTGTAAGAGCCCAACAATCTATCTCGAGCTAGGATCTGCAAAGAAACTAAGTTTTCAGATTATATTGCCTGAAATGAGAGAAATGAAACATGTCATTGGTTCATTTAGTAGTAGTAATATTTGTTAGCACATTTCACCTATCCTTATTCCATATCCTTCATATTTACCCATTCCGAAAATACTGCTTGTTACTTAATCAAGAAGTATCTCACAATTTGTAAGGCAATTGCAGTTGCTAACCTGTTATCTGTTTGCCTTTATGAATGACCCTGTCTTTTGTTATTAGGGCTGGTAGTTGATCTTATCCTAGTATCTAGTACTAAATTGCAAGCAATGAAATTGGCTAATTTTATATTCATGAAGGGTGACATATTTGACTGACAAAATATCCTGCTGTTGATAGAATCATAAATTGTCAGTTTACAATGTACACATTTATCTTATAGCACTCTGGTTCTACATCCTTCAATATGATTTTGCACATGTAATGTCTTTAGGGATACGTTTGTTCTCTTCTCTCTATGTACAGGAAGAATGCGAAAAAAAGGCTAACCTCTGGCGGCTTCACCCACATCTGTCCGTCATACCATCCACTTTCTTCATAAGGAATGACTGCTGATAGAAGTCTATCTCCAACATAACTCCAACCCTGCATTGTATTTCAATTATCTTAATTGCAACAGTTATTTTAGTCTGAAGTTTTAGCCATAACTCAGTCACTGAATCATCGTGTATAGTTAGTGTGAATGACAGAGATTACATTTAGTTGAAAATCTTATTATGTTGTGCACTTTGGTAACAATATAAACAGCATGAATGATGACTAGACACGAGAACAATCTTGTTTTGAAATCTCTGCCTTACCCCATCTTCCCATGTCCCCAGTAACGAAATGATTGTGAAATTAAGAACATAAAGAGGATTAAAACGCACCAAATAAATCCTCAAGACAATCAAAGACACAATGAAGAGTGTTCCTGTTCCACCAGCTAGTATAAATCTTAGAGGCTCCTGCAAGGTGGAGAACGTTAATGCAGGCAATAGGAAATTTTATGAGTGCAAGAGGAACGAGCTTTGTTTTTGTGCTGCCGGCATGTATTCTTGTGTGTGCATCAAAATTTCCTGTTGATTACTTGATTAGATGTCCTAATAATTATGCACATATATTTTAACTTCTTCCTTACTCTAGAAGGATTAAAGCTTGCAGCTGCAATTGGCCCTCCAAGAACTGTAAACACTGCCAACCAGAGACCTCCAAGGCGAAGGAAGAACGAACCCGGACCCAGTTCACCCCAAGAATACAAGATTCCATCCTTCAGAGATGAGTACTCATTTACCTGTTACACAGTGAGGGAGTCGGGGTTAGCATAAAAGAAAAATGAAACAAGTTTTAGTGAAACTAATCCCTTTTCATGAACTGTTTCAGTTTATATACATGCATTCACAGAAATGTAACTCACTCTAGCTAGGTTTAGCCATAAAATCCACGCACTAATATTACACCATCTTAAATCATGTTGATTTGAAGATCAGTTAATGCCAAAAGAAAACAGTTATTGCAAAAATTGTGTAGTTGTTTACACATACCGGCCTCTGTTCAAAAGGGACTTCAATTTCTAACCCGGGATCCCAGCTACGTCCTGAAGATCCGCTGGTTTCTCCATCCATCTCATCTTTAATGGCCTTAGCCTTGATAGAAATCCGATGAGAAAAGCTTGTAGCTTTGTGATTATGGATGATCAATGAGCCATAGTTGCTGCCTGGTTTGGCTTGTCTAGTACTTGGAATTAGTGAACAGTAGACATTTAGTCTAATCATTTACTTGTCGAGTAGAAGCTATCAACAACGCAACAGGATAGTGTTTGGTTCTAAATCCAGGTTCAATTTTCGCCTGGGCGGAGGAGGAAAGAACATGAGATGAGATTATGCTCACTGATTAACCGCAACAATGATTTTCAATTTTCGTTTCATGTCTTGGTTCCAGGGACCACATAATTATTTTACGTGGAGGAGGAGAACAAGTAAATAACGTGTGCATTTTCCAGTCCACGTGGACTTCTTATGCACCGTCCATGCAATACACTTAACACCCACAGGACTTAGATTATCCGAACCAAATGCATTTTGTGTTTTTATATTTTTGTGGTCTGAGAAACGCAAAGGAAACTGTTGCTGGTGCAACGTGACCGCTGTTCCCTTGCACGCAAATTATACTGTGTTTCTGTTGCCTGCACGCAGTAGAGCATGGTCGATTTAGCAAAACATCACAACTGTTATCTCCTATTTGGTTTTTAATATAATTCATATTATTTTAAATTAAAATGTTTTCTTAATTTAATAAAATATATTATTTATAAATTAAAAAAAATGTATTTTAATTAGTAAAAAATATGAATATTAATTAGGAGAAATAAATAATATAATATATATACTAATTAATTAAAAGACAAATAAATATAAATTACAAAAAAATAGTATAAAAATAATTTTAAAAAAATATATATAAATAGGATATATTTATTAGTATAAACTAAATTAATTATATTTCTTAATCTTAATAAACTAGGTATTTGAATTTTATCTATAAATATAAAAAAATAATATATTTATTTATTTATTATCATTACTGGTAGTAAGAAAAAAGTCAATGCTTCCATCCGAAGAAAAAAAAAATGAATAGTTAATATTGATGGACTAGACAATTATTTTTCAGTGAATACATTTTTTCCTATTTCATAAATGTCATAAAAAATGAATAAAAAAATAAATGTAATTCTTTCTTTTATATTATGACTAAAAGGTTGCGATACTTCATATTTCTGTGTAATAATTATATAAATAGTAACATTTTTTATATATATTTTCTATTTTATCTCTATCTAATATATCATTATGAGAGAGTTATTATACAATTGAATGGGTAATTTTTTTTTAAGATAAAAATAGTTATTTAAAAATATATTTCTTTTATTAATAATTATAGATTATTATTATTATTATTATTAAAGAAAAAAGCAATTTGTGCTTCCATTAAAAGAAATTAAAATAAGTGGATATCATGATGTGAACAATTAGCTTTTTGGTATATATCGTTTGCTTATTTCATCTTTTAAAATTTATTGGTATTTTATTTTATTTTTTTACAAGACGGAAAGAAAGAAAAAGAAAGTTTCCAATGGAATCAGCTATTAGAAGTCTATTGGTGATCACTGATTAAAATAAGATAGAGGTGGAATAAATGTCATAAAAATGTAGAAAGGTAGATATTAAAATCTGATATATATATATATATATATAATAATAATAATAATAATAATAATAATAATTATTATTATTATTATTATTATTATTATTATTATTATTATTATTATCAAGTATTAGGATATAAAACATATTTTTATAAATTCTCATGGATTATAAACAAATTTTTAATCACCAAAAATAAATTACAAAAATATAAAAGAAATAAGATTCAATTATAATTTTTTTTTTAGTTCAAGGACCTAATTAAAACTTTAAAAATGCATTAAATCTTCATTTTCTAACTAATGTATTGTTTAACAAGACCTTAATAATTACTCCATTTGATTCTTGCACTTTTAATCGAATAACACCAATTTAATATTAGTTATGTTAATTAATTTTATTGAATTTATAAAATAAAATCACAACGTACAATTTAACTCTTTTTATTTATCATTAAATTTTTATGTGAGAAGTGAAAATATTATTATTTAATATCAAAGTTTATGCACTTATATCAAAAAACTTAATAAATAATAATTAGAGAATTTAAGAGATGAAAGAATGTTTACTTATCAAATTTTATTCTCATTATCTAATAAAAAAAATATATTCTCACAATTTTTAAAGAACTCACAATCCTTAATAAAGGTAAAAATAAAAAATAAAAAAATTATTTTATAAAATTATAAATTTCCTTATAAAAAAATCACTATTTTTAAAATTTTTGCTTTAAATAAAAAATGGAGAAGTATTTATCAAGATTTAAACTTTACAAATAAGATTTTCTTGTGTATTTATTATATCAATAACTATTTAATATTTAATAAAATGTATTTAAAATAGTCAATAGCACACAATAAAAAGTACTTTTACATAGTCTAAATTTAAATGCATTTTTCTTAAAATTTTATTGGCAAACACAGGTTGACTTTTCTTTTTTTATTTATGTTATAAATATAAAATATTTTCTATTTTTGTTGATAATTAATTTTCATAAATTTTGATTAAATCTTTAGTAGAATCTTATTTATAAAAAAATTAAATTTAAATTTGTTTAAATCATTAGAATTTATCTAATAGTTTGGGTGTTAAAAAATATATACAAGTTATTATATTCAAACTCTAATATCATCATTATAATTTCTATATATATATATAAATAAATTATTTAACTAATTTGAATCTAATACACTTAGAACAATTACATGTTAGTTAACTTGATAATTTATTATTGTAAAAAGAAAACCTTGATAATTAATGTAATAAATATGGGCATTAAAGATAAAAATTGATTAATAAGGCAGAATTATATTCTTAATTGAAAATTCAAATTAAGATAAATGTTCTTAAGTTTTATTCTTTATTATTATATATAATATTAAATGAAAAATACAAAACCCCAAGCGTGTGGTTCAGCGGTAGGGGTTGATCTACGCTTAAGCAAGGTCAGGGGTTCGAATCCATGCAGCCGCATCCTGCCTTGTGTATGCAGCCGAGTTAAATTTTGGGGCCAGCTATCCTACCCTTTGAGGTGCCTTCAACGTAGCGAGGAGATACTCTAGGGACGAACATAAAATTAACTTGACTAGTAGAATATCTTTTACTAGGCATTAATTACTGAATTAAAAATGGAACAAAAGTAAAATAAAAAAGTCTAACTAAAATTAAAAAATATAAACAAAATCCTTTTTATATTTTGTAATAAAGAATGTCCAGGCTTGAGATAAAAAAATATGATAATAAGTATTTTTATTTAAGATAAAGTTAAAATTAATTTTTTATTAGAGATTGATCATACCTTTAAGTGATGATGAATATTCATTCCAATATCATATTTATTTAAAAAGGTACAATTTTTAAAAAATTTAATACTATACTTTAGCGTAGTCATTTAATAAAATCTCAATATTATTTTTTAACCATAACTATAAATTCACATAAGCGGCGCACATAGACAAGGTGCAGTGCAGCACCTGGAAATCCGTTAGAAAAAAGTGTAGGATCTAGGGTTTAAAAAAAGGTCGGTTGGGTGAGAGAAGTGCATAGTCAACTTCTATAATATAAGCTTCAGAGGTTCTTTGCATTTTCACTCAGTTACCATTCAATTAGAGTCTGTGTCAAAGAAGAAAGGTAAAGCAGAAAAAACTCTCCGCACAATCCTCATGAATGCCAAAACGGTTAGGGGAAATTGGAGATGGAGGAAGAACAAGCATGACTTGCTTTCCGTCTTCATCTTATGCATCTTCTTCTTTCTCGCTGGATTATTTGCTTCCGGTCTCTTTTCTCACTCTCAGGTTTTCCTTCTCAATAGTCGTATTCACATTCTTCCATGCTTTACGCTCGTTTGTCTTCGATTGTGTTTTGTTTCGCTGGAAAATATTCCAAGTAACGAATCGCTGAGAATTTTTAGGAACGTGAATATGACCTGAGGATGATGTCTAGAACGAGAGCGCGGTTACTTGAAAAATCGACGGAGTACCGTTTGTTACAAGCCGGAGACTCCGGTGATGATTCCATTACATCGATTCCGTTTCAGGTGCGCGATTTCGTTTCTTCACACTTCTCAATTTTTTGCCGAAATGTTCTTCCGCTAGTTTAGTTAAAATCAGCTTTTCATCGGTTAAGTTTGCGATTCCATTCCTGTTTGAAATAATGCAATATTTATGAATTAGTATACTTTGGTGAGTTTATGTTAACATTTTGATTTCATACACGTTTATGAAAAGGATCGCAAATCTCAAATTTATGATTTAGTTGTTTTTAAAGAAAAATATCTAAATTCACACAAAATTAGTTAAGTTGATTTAATTTTATATAAAAATTAAATATTATTTTCTAAATTATCCTTAATATATTTATTAGAAATAATAATCACATTTAATTTAAGTTGTATTTTTGAACCAAGAAATTAGACACAAATGCTGAATTCAAGGTCAAATTGTTTAGATAGTATTCAATTCTTGAAAATAATAATCGTTCATCACCAGGAAAACCTTAAGATATTGGTATAATAATAAAAAAATATTATATTTTTGAAATGATAACATAAAATAAAATAAAATAAATTAAAATTTATTTATATTTAAATTATTTTTTTTAGAATAAATTATATTATCCTACTATAATATATATATATAT